TTGTTACTATTTTCCTTTCTCATTCATCTTTGAGTCCATAGGAAATATGTGGGTGGGTTACAAATACAAGGTTCTTTGGACTCTGCCAATGTGCAGGTGTAATTCTGCATGGCCTGACTCAGGACTACAGTATGTGGCATTTCTGTTTTTTGTTGTGGTTTGGGCCTGGTCAGCAACCAACCCCAACAACCACCTGGGAATGGGGGAAGGGATTAGAGGGGTGAAGGGAGACTCGCAGGCTGAGATAAGAACAGTTTAATGGCAATAAAATGAGAACAGTGACGATGATGGGGGGAAAACAAAAAGAAATGTCTAAACAGTCAATGTACAGTGTAATTGCTCCCCACCCGCTGAGCAATCCCCAGCCCGTTCCCGGCCAGCGACCCCGAGATACCAAGATCCCGCGATCGCAATCCTGGAAGCGAGAGAGAGAGAGAGAGCCCCTTCCCAACCACCCCTCCTCCATGTAGTGAGCATGTGTTCCATGATATGGAATATTTCACTGGCCAATTTGGGTCTGGTGCTGTGGCCGTGCTCCCTCCCTGCTCCCTGTGCCCTTGCGCAGGGGCAGGACATGGGGAGTCGGAGAGTCCTTGGAGTCTCGGTAGCAGCTGAAAACATCAGTGTGCTAGCAGCATTTTTCCCATACCAAACCCAAAGCTAAATCCAAAACACATCACTCATCTAGTCCCTGAAAAGGAATATTAACTCTATTTCAGCCCAAGCCAAGACAGTTTTGTTTGGTTTTTCAGGAGAGCGTAGTGACTTGCTAAATAGTATTAAGCGGATAAAGTCTGAAATCAGTGTTCTGAGTAGCTGAAAGCCTGCCAAAGAATGGAATGCTTTAATCAATTGAATTAAATGTGTTTCTCATACTGGCTTGAGAAAAACATTTTTTTGTAGCAAAATTAAAACATCACTTATTTTCAACTTAAACCAACTGGACTGAATGCATCATGACAGATGCTCTGCTGGCTTCGTGCCCTCATAAGTTCAACTGCCAGGAGGACACATTTCAGAGTGAAGATACACATGCACACTCTACTTCGTTCTCTGCTCTGTGTAACATGAGCATCTGCCTCTCTCCCCAGCACGCAAGACTGTAGGAGGACATTGTATTAATCATCCATGCTGATGACAAATAATGTTAAAAATAAAACATCAGGTCTGTCTGCTATAACATGCTTAAGTGCACAGTCCCACCCTGGTAAGGAGAGGTGTGTGCATGTCCTCTTTAACCTGTGCCAGTGGTGGTCATTCTTAGCTGTGCCAAGGTCTTCCAAAGTAACTAGTAATTATGAGTGCCCGATCTGACACACTGCAGAAAAGCCTTAAAGGCCTCAAAATCGTAAGACCTGAAGTATCACCATGCTGGTCACTCAGCTAGGCAGTATTTTGATAATCTTGGGCATAATTCTGTAGCCTGCCAAGGGTGAGCATTTGCCTGGCATCATAGATGTGTTTGGTCTGGGGTCAGTGGGGAGGGAATGCAAAACAAAATCCCTGCAATTAACAGCAAATTCTGAATGAACTGTAATCCTGTTTACTTTAGAACACAGAATAAGGAATAATACTGTGCCACTGTAATCTCCATGGCCCACAAAAACTAACAAAGTAAGGATTTGCTAAATGCTCTGATTTTGTAATAGGAGAGGTATTTCAAAGGAAGGTGTTAAGTGTGAGAAACACCCACTGAATAATGCATGCCTGGCTGGAACTCTGCAAGAGCTAACTTCTCAACAAGGACAGAGCACAGCCCAGTATGTGAGACATGGCTGGAAACAAAACTCATGACTTAGCTCTCCAGTGCACCACAGAAGCACAAGGCTGCTATAAACACCATGTACCTGGAGTTTGGGTGTTTGGGCACAGAACAGATGATACCTGCTTTAGCTGGAAACAGGGCAGTGCCAGAGGGGGTGTTTCTTTGTCATTTGTAGTATTTATTTGTTAATAGTAAAAAAGGGTAAATGCCACTCTTGATATATCCTGATTCTCTTTTTGACTAGGTGATTCTTGAGTGCTGGCTCTTAGAGGACTCCAGGAGGATTTGGATTTATCAATAATGACCATGTGGATGAGGGGTGCCACAAGCAGATGTAGCTGAGACGATCCTGCTCCTGACACATGCTCTTGCCTTTGGCAAGTCATATCACAACTCTTCTGGCCTTCTCTTTTTGCCTTTTGGTAGGAATTTCTTCATGATAGAAATTGTCTCCTTCAGACAAAACTAACATACTAATATGAAGTTGGTCTCATCAGAGCACGTTAACCGCTGCTGAAATACAGATAATTATATGCTGAGCCAAAGAAGTCAAATGAGTTCAATATTGTTAGATAAAACATAGTTTTTGGGATCATGGATTTGAGGAACCGCCAGAAAAAAAGGACTATCAGTACTGAAGAAGAAGTTCGACTGATAGGCAAATATTCCTTGTGACAATAATTAACAGTTAAACACCACATGTTCTTCCACATACCCAAGCAATTTCTGTACCACTTCAGTTCATAATGGTTCCACAGTTTTCAAAAGTGATACTGCTTTTATTTCAGAACAAACATTGCTTGTGAGAAAAGACATCAAATCATCAAACTCAAGGATATCAGACAAAGGAGTAAGACATACTGTGAGACAAAATCAATAGCAACTCTTCTTCACAGAAGCACCCAGTAGCATTTTTTTCTCCTTTTCACTCACTTTATGTCACTATTTAAAAAATCCCCTCATAGTATACTCTGATGAACTGTGAGCATTTCCTCTGTGGTATCAGATGCCACTTCAGGAGAACAAGAACAGGACAGCAAACAGGATAACTCAAAGTCAGCCTGAATTGTATACCTACCAACCCTGTGGATTTACTCAGTTTTCATATATAGATATGCAGCCCTTTGCAAAACACTGAAAGGGAACTATCATCCCACTTGGGATATTGGACATAAGCTAAATGCTTTCTATTTATTGACTTTTACAGGCAATATTTGCATGGGCAGAGGAGTGCTGTTGAGTTACAGCCTTGGCTCCTAGTGCCTTCACACTCCTGGGGGGAACAGGGAGAAGCTTGCAATTGTTGAGAGAAACCACAGTAGTCCCTATCACCATGCCCTAAAGCAACCAGTCCTACTGCTCTGTATGTTCCCTCTGCTCATATACGAAACATATTGTTAATTTTTCAGAGATCTGACCCTAGGCAAGTGCCCACCTCTCCTGCAATGCCAGATTCCCCTGGGCACATGGACAGAGAAGGGAGCTGAGCTCTTCTCTAAGAAACCCTCCACTCTGTGCTGCCACAGGGCTAGGAGCCCACCACAGAGCATTCCTGACCCACTAAATACAGCCACATCAATTGAGCAAAGAAATAAAGGGAAAAGAACTTCTGTTGATTAGAGGAACAGCCACTGGTCTTTCATACCTCCTATTTGTGCCTAAAGAAACCTGACCATGACTGATTTTACTGCCAACAGCCCGCAGAAGGTCCCAGCTGGGAACTACTTGGTGGCAGTGACTGTAGGAGGAGCTCCAGCAGGTCAGCACATCTGAAAAACAGGTTCCTTGACTAGTTACTGAACAAAGAGTCTGATTTTCTGGGTGCACTCAGGTTTCAAAATGGTTTGTGTTAGAACAGCCTCTTCTGTTCCTTTCAAAGACTATTAAACCCAATCCCAGCTTCTGCTTCACCTCAGTCTTAACTGGTGCTTTGCTCTGCAGGACTGAGAATAGTATTTCTTTACAGTCAATGCCTTTTACCGTTGCCCATGAAACAAAAGAAAATTATGACAAATAGCATTTTTCCTCTGGGAGCAATGCCCACCTGAGACCCTGTTCAGGCAGAAGCTCGTATTTGCATCACATGAGCTTGTCCGGAAATCCTGAACATCCTCTGTCTTATCAAGCAAAGGCTGCCAAGGCTTCACAGGATCAGACTCTTAAAAAAACCACCCTGATGGTGGGAAATAATGTCCACAGCCTGTGAAGGTTGTAGGTAACAACTTTCCCTAGCAGATGTTTCCCCTGCAGAAGTTGATGCTACTCTGTGTTTCAATATCCAGCAAATTACTTTCTTAAAATTAAAATAATGCTGTGCAAAAGCATTTAGAAGACAGGAGTAATACTATATTTTACAACACAGAGATCCTACAAATCAAACTAATATTTAAAGAAAGAAAAAAGAGAATTCAAACAACTTGGAGGAGGGAGAAGCTGTCTCAAAAAATTATAACTAAATGTCATTATCTTTGCAATCATGTTCCTTTTGGACTGAAGCTGTGATTTCAAGGTGTTACACAGTACTAGGAAATCAATGACTGTATAGCGGGCTCAGTAAACCTCATCAATCCTCTCAGAGCCCTGCAACCTGGTGGGAAAAAACCAGCCATATCTGTCCATTAGAATAGAAGCAGATTGCACATCATCAAATTGCACTTCCCCAACTCTGTTTCAGGTCATCCAGGTTTTCTTTTCTTTGACTTAAAGACTTGCCACAGCTCCAGCTGAAATTAAGCTTTCCTTTCAACTGAGAGTGGACCAAGCTGTAGCTGTAGAAGTTTAAGGCAATTATTTTTACAACTGACCACTGATTTTTGAAAATTACATCATTTGGATGCCAGATTTGAGACACCTTAGAGTGCTTTCATTTTCAAAAGATGATGATCATTTGACTTCTGATACAAGCCCCTTTTAAGATGTCTCAAAACCTGGACAGCCCCAAACTTCTGATTTTTGAGTTAAGTACTCACCATTTATAAATGACTGACTAAAAATGCTGTTCTTTGGGGATGCTGTACTTAATTTAATCTGTTTGTTATTTAGCAAAACCAATAGTAGTTTCCAGCAGTACCTACAGATGCAGTGTAAATAACCAGGTATTGAAAAATATCTATATTTACAATACATTAAACAAGTGGAGAAAACTGTGACCATGCAAAAATATGGTTCACGGGAGAGTAACTTTTGTACAGTAGGTCTGAAACAAAGCATAGGCACTTCTGCTTCAACAGTTTTTTATCCCCCAAACTCAGTCTCCTTTCTCCTAGCTATACTTGCTAAGGAGGAAAATCCATGACATGCACATTGCTGCCTTCAATGAGGAAAAAGCTCTCCACCACCTCTTTGCTTGGAAGACCTTGCAGCAGTGAAGGAGACCACTGTTCTCCTGCTTTTCAGAAAAAGACTGTATTCATCCTTAAAATGGGACCGTACCTTTTGCAGTCCTCCTAAGAAGTTAATGTCCTGTCTTTCCACTTTTTGCTCTTGTTTGAAAGCAGCTAACCCCCTTCACATCACACTAAAGACACTGGGCAAAGCACTTCCTTGGGATGCTGGCTGGTGAGATCAGACAGAGGACACAGTTATTGGTAGGAGCTAAGAGAGACAAGCTTCCTGGAAGCCTGAGTGAAAGAGACAAAAGTAAAATTTTCACAGTGCTCCAGCTTCACTTTCTTCACCAGCTTGGGGACGACAACCCTGAGGGAGTGGAGGCCCATCCTCTGCTCCTCGTACCAGACGTTCCCCATGCCACTGACCTCCTTCTGGGCCGTCAGGTAGAAGGGAGAGTTGGCCTCCAGTGTATGTACATGTACTTGTAGAGGAGGCAATATGGGCAGAGCTTGTGCCCTTTTGAGTGCTCATGGTAGATTTGGCCGTAACATGCTCTGTTTGCATTCATCCTGTTTCCTTGCTTCATGCTATCCATTCTGGCAAAAAAAAAATGGCCTGTTCTGGGAGTCTTCGAGCAATTCAATGTCACTCATGGAACGTTAAGTCTGCGTGCTCCTGGAGGGTTCTCATGTTCAGGTACTGGCTGTCGTATTTCACCACTGTGGACAGCAAGGCTACAGGGCTGTCATCTCCCAGGTATCCCATCCTCCACATCTCTTCCTCATCAGAAGGGGAGAAGTAGACAACGTTGTGAGAGCAGGCACCAGACATTCCAGCCTTGCTCAGGACCTTAAGCTTCTCCTTGAGCTATCTGGTGGAAGAGCTGAAGGTGCTGCAGGTGACGGAGAAACCAGTGTCAGCATTCTTGAGGATCTGGTCTAGGCCTCGTTGGATAGCGTGGAGGGACATGGCTAGAAAGTCAGACCCATCTGTTTTCTTCACGGTGATGTAAAAGTCCTCCAGGAGTTCATTGAGCTTCACTGCTGGGATCTGGAACAAGAGGAATGGGAAAGATGTGTCAAGGTACTCATGGGAAGGAAATACATCACACATGGGGAAGACACATTTAGGGCTTCTCCATCCTCTGTCTGAAGAAACCTACAGCAGCTTCCACACTTCCCCAGAAGTTTGTTTCTGGGCAGCCCTACAGTCTTGGGAAGAGGCTACATGTTTATCTAAGCAAAAGAGATGCAATGAAATTCCATGGTGTCAGAGTGCTCAGACAGACCAGATGCATTTCACTGGCTGGCACCACTTTTGCACCAGCTGCAGAAATCCAGATTCAGATGAAAGGAGACAAATTCCTGACTTTTTTGAAGTGAATGAAGGTTTCAGTCACACTGAGGTGTGACCATGTGCAAATGTGTGACCTACCACTTGGGTGTAATACTCTGCTTTTGCAGTAACATGGTACATATGGACAGTTTTCAGGTGAAAAAGGAAGAGGAGGAAGGAGGATGAGGAGGAAGAGGAGAATGAGGAGGAAAAGGAGATGCTGCTGCTTTTATCCATGAGATGTCAGTATTGCAGTCAGGCTGCCTGTCAGGCTGCTTTAGCCTGCCAATGTCTTAGACCAACCTGACCAGCTCCAAACCTGAGTGGGGCTTTTTGTACTTCGGCCCTTAGTCACAGTCCTTATTTTTTGGGGTGTACACTGATTTTCTTGGGAGTTCATTTTTTTGTAGAAAAGTCCTCAAATGCTCGGAATCGCATTGGCTAGCCCTGGGAGCTGAAATCATGCAAACAGTATGTCCTTAGGATAACAGCGGGAAATCTTGTGACATGGCAGCATGGGGCCAAGGTTGTGAACACGTGTTATGCACATGGAAATCTTCAGGATCACCCCGGGTCTCCAAGCTACTGGCTCAACCGTAAAGGCAACAGGGTGTGAATTAGAAAAGGTTACAGGTTTATTAAGAGAAACTTGGAAGGTCCCCAAGACCACAAGGACGTAAGGAAGGCTGAAATCCCATCTATTTTTAAATTTTATGATAACCTCATTTGATATGGGGGGCTGGCTCCACCACTGAAAAAATGGCATTTTGCTAAATTTTCTGACCTTAGCGATGTCCATGTAATCTCTGAGTCCTTTGTCCATGCACCAGTATCTCCACATGTTGAGAGCACAGAAGGTGGCCTTGGTGGTGTTGGGGCTTAAAGCACTGATACACAGGTACTTGAGGTCATCATCAGAATTAAAGACAGGAAGCTTGTTGTGCTTAGTTGAATATGCTAGAAAACAAATAAAGAAAGGTGATAAAAATAGCTTGTCCTAGTGACATGCTGCCCCCAATTCCAGCTAAGACCAACTTTGTGTTTTTCACAAAACGTAAGGAATTTTAAAAAGATGAAACACAGCACTTCCCTGATGATTTCCCATGAGTTTGTGTGCTGAAAACTCAGATGTGGCAGGAAGGGCACCAATATGAAGTCACCCTAAAGTTCCTTCAAAGCTGAAAATGAACTGCCACATGGAGCCAGTAACAGAGAGGGAGTAACACAGCATCTTTTACCTTGCTGCAGAAACAGAGTGAGGATGACAAAGGAAAAAGTTTTTCCTTTTGTCATTTGACTCAGGAGCAGAGGAAAAACTCGTCCCATTACTACACAGCCTGACTGTGCTGCTGGTGTGTCTCAGCACCATGGGTGTCTGTGCAAGCTGGACAGGCAATGCTAACCAAGTAGGATCTTTCACTCATACCCACTTCCTACTCCCTGTTAGGCACAACAGAATCAGGCCCTGTTGCTGCAGTGAACTGAAGGCAGGTGCATCTTGATGAATACCATGACTTAAGTGAAGACATGCAGTGTGCATTTCTTAAAATGCCCCACAGGCAGGAACTGAAAGTAGAGGATTGATGGAGAACTTTTTTATAGATGTTCAGACACTTAATATCCTTTATGGAAGAGTAATACATTTTTATGATACCACTATAATTTTATTATATCCACTATACTTTAAGTCTACTTTTTACAGGGCTGAAGGTAATGGATTTTGCAGCCCAATGCATATTAGCTGTGAAATGTTGCTCTGAACATCCATGCACTGAGCCTGTGATCCATCCCCATGGAGACTATCTCAGCACAGCAGGCAAAGGGAAAAGGTCGTACACTCAAGAGGAGGAAGATGCTGGCTTTCTCCTTCTAACCTTCAATTCTGCAGCCACAGCTGACCGTTACTGCAGCCCGAGAGGAGTAACTCTGCATGCTAGAGAGAAGTGATTTTACAAAGGGGTTTCTATTGTTGCATCTTTTGCTGTGAATGTATATAAAAGGTAAAGGAACTGCATAAACCCAACTGAAGAACCCACTGCAAGCAAAACAAGCTGGAAAGCTGAACAGATGCACCATGCACAGGTTAACAACGTAAGCATGTTTTCCGATCCTCTGAGCTCCGGGCACTTCTATAACAGGAGTCTGTGCTCTGCAGAGCCGTGACAGCACAGAGTCTCCTCCTGAAGACTCCAAGAAATATTGCTGGAAAAGAGCAGGCTATGCAGAGGGCACATCTGACATGCACATTGCCATGCAAGCCTGTCCAGGGGCAGGGGTCTAACAAACCAAAAGGACCCTCTCTTCCTTCTGTACACTGCAAGTAGTCAGTGGACAAAAATAGGACTTCTTTCCATCTGAAAGGTAGGCTGCAAGTGTTTTTTCTAAAGTCAGCATAATGAATATTTGCTTTCTTTTGTCCAGGAGAAAACAGTTCATCCATTTAATTCCCATACAGTGTGAAGGAGTCCCGGAAAAGGCCAGGATCTTGGTTCAGAGGGGCACCAGTGCATGGGCTCTGTTTAAAGACAACGCCATTCCCATCCTGTCTGCATCACTGACTTCAGCAGCTGCATACCAAACCATAAAGCTCTTTGCCCAACATCTCCTGTCAGCAGCTGGATGATGCTCTAACAGTTTTAAATGTCTGAACACCTCCTCGAGTATGTGACAGAGGTGTTGGCACACCACCAAGAGACACTAACAAAACCTACACCCTTAGCAAGCACGGAGAGGAGTTCTCTCTGGGACCTGTCAGATAGAATTTGGAAAAGCATCAAGTGGCCAAGAACACACATCCCATGTCCAGAAGGGCCTTGCAAACAGTGGTGCTCTGTCTTATAATTACATCAACGCTTGCAGGTTCTGGATCAAGACCCGCAAGACTGCATTTTTACGTGTGTAACTCACAGGCTGCCCGTTAAAGCAAGCAAGTCCTGACTCAGTACTGCTGTAGGTACGGTATGAGTAACTAACAAACACAGAGGAGATCTTGCACCTAAATCTCAGAGTGCTGAGCCCTCACCACTAATACACCTTTTCCATCCCTCTTCCTGGAGGTTACCCAAGAGTTTATTTTCAAACAACACTTCAGGGATGTGGGCTAGGTATGTGAATATGCAGCACCCAAACACCTCAGGAATGATGGTTCCTTTGATACAGTAATCTTTGTATTCAGTTCACCTGATGCTACACTCATGGCAGAAACACTGCAAAAGGACACAAAACAGCCATCTGCACAAGCACAAGCCCTCTTGCCAAAATTCTGCCACTGTGATGATACATCATTCAGGAAAAAAACAGTTACATTTGTCATTGCTTGCCAAAACATGCACAAACCCTACACCTACAGAGACAACTGTGCTATTATCTGATGGTTTGCAGGGGCTCCATGCCAGACCTTTTAAGTTGAAGTGCACGTGGCAAATGTCTAGACATCTAATGCTTTGCTCCATGTTGAATCCAGGAGCTGTACTGTGTGTGTTTGGAGAATGAAGAAGACGAGGATTGCCAAACAAGCTAGTAAGATGCCATCAAAACTGGTGAGATTTCAAATCTGATTTCTCTTCACATCTCTGCAGTCTTCCCCTAAAGCAAAGGCAGTTCCTCATACAGTGCCTGCTGCTGTTCATGCTGCAAATTAGCAGTTGCTGTCTCAGTGGCACTACATCAGAAAAGCTGGGGGACTGTATTAATCCTCCCTCTATGGAAGCAAACATACTAAGCCCCCCACTCACCTACCCTAAATAAAGAAGATAAAGATCACTGCCATATCTGGATGTTCTTAAAAACCCCAGATGCCATTCATCTTTACCTGGCCTTTACTCATTTTTGTGCTAGTCCATGCTGCACAGATGCTGACACGTATCACAGGCTCCTGCAAATACCACTGTTGTCCAGAAGGAACAGGGATTTTAGATGCTTTTAGAAGGTATCTGGCTCTTGCAAGGTGAGCAGGGAGACACTCCTGTGCTCCCTGCTGGCTTGCAGGCACCCAGCGTCTGATAGAGCACCAACGTGGGCTGACGCATTTCTGGTCTGCTGAGCAGTTTGAGGACCACATTTTACAACTGTGTAACCAGTCCCTCTTTCAGAAGGGGCTCCATACCCAGGAGCCTGAAGGACACAGATGATGTGAAGGGGCTATCCCCCCAGCAGATGACATTGCAGAGAATACAGCTTAGCTGTCTGGTTTTGTAGGATGGGCAATGCCTGTCTGCTCAATGGTTTCCTCAGGCAATCCTCTGCAATACAAGAACATGTGGCCACCCTGAGCCTCCAGGAATGTTTCTGAGTGCCCTCCACAAAGGTTCAGACACACAGAAATCTCCTTCCAAATGCAGATGAACGGCATCATCTTGTATTACAGGGTTAATGGCTCCATGGCTAGCAGCATCTTATCTCCTCAACACTCAGTGCTTCTGCCTGCCTTTCCCTGGGTATACATTTGAAGCAGGGTTTTCTGCAGTCCTCTTCTGTTTGCCATTTTGTATAGGGACAAGAATAACTAAAAATGTACTTGCAAGTACATGAGGAGCTCTGAGGTGAATAATCATCCATGATTTTTCTTCAAGCACTTTCAGTGTCATTTCCTCACAGCTTTCAGAGGAGCAGCGGTAAGCACATCTCATATGCTGCCAGTCTGGTGTGCACATTCTCTGTTCTCTGCTGGGTACCTGTAGGAATTTGGCCCTTAGAACAATGTGTCTGTATACAAATAGCTCTATCTTCTTATACTTAGACATATTTTTTTTTCTCCTTTCTAATTATTCTCTTTGAGAGCTAATCAATGTTATCAATAGTGAAGGTTGTAACACAGTAAGCCATCACGCTACTCTGAACTTGCAGATCTTTCCACAGATAGCTGCCAATTTCCATTTGTCTGGTATATAAGACAAAGCAAACCACCAGCAACTTACAGACCCCAATTTGCCATCTCCAAAGCCTATCTGAAGAGACAATATGCCATAATGTCCCCAAGCAACTTCCACACCAGTTGTAGTCATGATGTTCTTAAGCAAGGTCTCAAGTACAATGTCCAGATATATTCAGTTGCAGCCAGGAGACTTCATCACATTTATGAGATCATTCTGGGGGAGCACCTCAGGTTAACCGAGCCAAATTCCTTGGTGCTGTTTGCCTAGCTACTCAGAAGGCCTGAACCCTGCAAAACTGCACACAATGTGTGCATGCTGCTGCTGGTTATCCTTGGGTATGAGAGGAGGAGGAGGAGAGGACACGCAGACATCCCATGAGCTGGGGAAGCACATCCGTTCTTAAAATGTAATCTGGGTTAAAAATGTAATCTGGGTTAAACCAGTGTACAAAGGGAAAACTGAAAGCAGCTCAGTTACCAGAACTTTGCCAATCTGATCAGTTGAACCACGTTAACCATTACCAATGCCTGCATACTCACTTTTAGACCAAAGGAAAGCACATCAACTTCTGTGAAGATAGCTTAATCCAAGCTAAATTTAATCCAACAGTTTTACTGGGCATTTAAAACAGATAGCAAAAGCACCTGGTAGCCCCTGGCCATCACCTGTCCATACTTCACGTCTCTCTCTCTTCTTCCAAAGGGCTCTATTTTTTCTTTCCACTTGTCACTGGGACCACAGCAGGACCTTTGACATGATGCCTTTTATGTGCTGTTGTGCTGAGCAACAACACACAGTCCACTGCTAGCACCAAGCATCAAGAAGGGAATTTATACAGCAGAATTTGCCAGGTGATGGAAATGCAGTCCCAAAATACCTGGTGAAAATCATGTTCCTCTACCCCTCACCTATGGTGTTCTTATCCCAAAAGAAGGGTTCTTCCACCCAGGATGCAAGTCAGTGTGCACAGGGTCAAGGTATTTCTTCTATTTCATGTCTGCACAGACATGGGTATTAGGTGGTAATTCCACAAAGCTAGCACACTGCACAAAATAACTTCAGTGCATTTATACACTTCAGACTTCACAAATACGCATTTACTGTAATGACCACTGGTTAGTTTCTTATCACTTTGTCCCTCATTGGTTAGTTATATTTAAATTAGCCTCATTTGCTATATAAATTAGCACACATGCTCCTTTCAGGCTTGGGGGAACAAGTCTTTTTGGTCTTGAATTGAGTTGGTGGTCATGATCCCCCAGTGACACCTTTACCTTTCCCATAGTTACCACAGATTTTTGCTGACTTCATGCTTCTTGGGCAATGATCCCTCCTCTGGACCTTCCAGGGCAGGATGTTCCCCTATTAGTCTTTTAGCTCCTCTTCAACGGTATGGTTGTTAGCAAGCTCTTCATCATTTATAGAAAGTATCAGGCTTACACAATAGACCCAATGTTTAGTGGTCACTACAGCTTAGGCATTAACCTGAACATATGTTTTTTCTTACTCTACAGTGGCACTTAGCTCTTACTGTCCTGCACGGATGTCCTAACACCAACACAAACACACTGCTGTTTCCTAGACGGCAGTTCCCTGAGGGATTTTGCTTCTTCCTTTTTCTCATGTTCCTTTGGCAGAACCTGAGACACTCTGATGTTCTTCAACGCAGTAGTGATCCCATGAACAACAGCTCAATGGAGTTTCATTGGCGATCTCAAGGGATTTTTCCACTTGATATGTTTCTCTTTCACAACACAGGGGCTTTATTAGCTTTACTTTTCTGGTCATTTAATTTTAAAACCCCTTGAACAGAGAAAAGTCAGACCTGACAAGCAACTGTCTTAAAAGATCCATATCCTTGGGTCCACATTTGATTTTATTCTAGATGAAAATTAAAACAAAACTATGCAGAGAGCAGACCTTACTGCTGAAATTCTAAGTGCAAAATCAGTAATTTCAAGCCAAACTGTGCCTTGGAATTGATGTAACCAGATGAGGTTCAGAAAAATTACTTCAACAAGGCTCTCAGGATGTAGGCGTTCAGTCCTAGTGAGGTGAGATTAAATGAGCACATGGTTCAAGTCAAGCTTGCTTGTAAGTACATTCCTGAACAGGGAAGGATTTAAGCAATTGTTTAAATGTTTTCCTGAAACACAACCCCAGATGTTAAAGAGGGTATGACAGCAACTGTTTCTTGGTGAGCCTATTTGCAATCTGCTAATAAAAATGCATCACAGGTCCATGGGAACTTCCCAGCTATGCTGATACTCGAAAATCATGAAAGAGCACTGTGCTTTTTTAATACAATGTGCTTTGAAATGCCAAGTAAATTGTTTTCAAGTGATTAAAGAAAGCAGTCAACTTTACAGAAAACAGTTTATTAAATACATAAGAATTGGTTGCTACACCTAATTACAGACAAAATATTGTGAATAAAGCATGCACTTATCACAGACATCAATGACTTTCTTGATTATTTTTAAAATCATCTTTAATTCTGGGAGTTTAAGGCTGTACCATTACAAATTTTAAAAAACAAAAAAAAAAGTCACACTACAATTGTAGCAAACATTGTACAGACAGTGAAATCTATCTCTGATGCAGCAGAACCAGACTTCTTAAAGATTATTATAAGGGAATAAAAATGGAACTGAAGTGCAATAAAAATCAGAATACCTCTAGAATTTGCAGATCAGTAAAAGTGAATGTCATACTCCAGTTAGCACACAACTGAATCCATTCTTTTCAAAAGCCTAATTAGCTGAAAACTGAGCAAGGGATGAAACTCAGACACCATGAAAAAGAAAAAAAAGACCTCTTGGTTTTACTTTTTCTTTTTGAGGGCACTTTTGTACTCAAACACTAAAAGCATTTTTCAGGGAGACATTTGACTAAAGTGTGGCAGCCAACAGTACAACATACATTTGTTTACTCCATCCCAATTAAAGATGAGTGGAGCATCTTGCAGTAGGGGAAGGGAAAAAAAAAAAAAAAAAAAACACAACAAAAAAACAGCTCTCAACTGGCACAAGTGACAGACAACTTTGTTGACCATATTTGTCTTCACCTGCAAAGGACCTTACCCTGTATGAAGTTTGCTTCTTAAAATTACTCTGCAGAAATAGCAATATGGCATGCACGTGGGTCAAAACTTACCTAGCTAACAAATAAGATTACCAGCCCTTGAAATCCAGTTGGGGATCTGGGGCTCAAAGTAGGTTTTGAAATTTTTCCTCATTTACAGCAGCAAAACCTTTTGCTTGTTTTTTTTCAGGTCACTGTGCAACTCCAGAAAGAAGGTAATTTGAGGACAATGAGATTGAACAGGTAGCTCTGAAAATGGACTGTAGTTGACAATTTTGCTCACGTTTTCAGAAAAGATCCAGTAATCTCTCCGTTCCCCTCAGATATTCTAGATTTGCAGATCTTAATGCATTAAAATGCATCAAAATGTTACTTCTCCCTAATAAATCATTGTATTGATTTATAATAAATCTCTCAAATACAGGGCAAGAGATCTCTATGAGAAGGTGCCCTGTGTGTAGAAAACCACATTTTGAGTGGAAAAGATGTAGCACTGCTCATGCTAAAATCTCTGCCTGAAATAACTTATTACACCTGGGGCTTGCAAAGGGGTCAAAAAAAGCTAAATCCCCAAATTAGACTGTGGTTTGGATGGATAATTCTCTTTTGGCTCCTTTCAGCAGCACAGCCTAAGCTATAGTTTTTTCCTGAAAAACACAAACCAAAACAAAAACAACAAACAAACCAAAAGCCATAAAGCAAGCTTGTCCTGCAATATAATGCACTTGAGACTAAAGGTAACTACAAGAGCAATTACAGGACTGACAACACATACACTGAAGGCATCACAGTGATTGGAAGGTGATATCTAAACCAGCCTGCTGTCAGCCAGTTTGCATCTTAAAACCAGTGAATCATGGTGAAAAGCAAATGCTACTAGAGACTCAGACATGCCACAAGCTGCAGGCTAAATCCTAAAGCCAGATCTGTACTTGTAGAACCATAACTGCATTTCCAACATGCAAAGTGTTAAATAGAGGATACTGATCACTTTCCTGATTCAAATCTAAGCTGAAGATAATGCAGTTTTATCTAACTTCACAATGGAAGACAAGATGGGGAAAAAACAGCTGCTGTGCTGCAGGAATCTCATGCATCTTTTTTGCAAGTTGGGCCAAGACATAAAGGCAGCTAGGAAGACCAATTCCTAAGACAATTAATGCAATTGGTGGGACCACAAAGACTCAGATCTAGCTATAAATGGAAGAAACGCAGGAAGTAAGACTGTGTATCACTGCCTTGCATATTTACTATTAGGGCCACATAGGCAGGAGTTCTGCAGAGTCAAAACTTTTTGATCATATCAGTGGAAGCATGAGTTCATGAGTAAATGGCTACTGTACAAGAAAAACAATGGAGAAACACATTACAGCTGGTCTCAGCTGGTTTCTGATCTCGCAGGAGCATGAAGCAGCTACATATTTTAAAAGGACAATAAAACGTCCTGAAATTTCGGAAGAGAGCCCTGTTCTCTACAAGAGATAGGAACTAGAGTGTTGCAAAAGGCTTCTAAGCATCCTAATCACTTGTGGAAGGTTTAGATCTTCAGCTGGGGTTTTCAAATTCATCAATTTGTGGGGGACTGGCTTGCAGCCTACTATATGGGATGATTTTCAGTGTGTTCTGGGCTGCATCCCTTAATACTGTTTTTTGTAAATGTCTTGGGTGTCACAAAAATGAGCAGTCACATTGAAAATTTTGGCATAAACTTCTTTTTTCGGAAATATTTTACATGACAAGGGTTGTAAATTGTCTTGCTGGAGAACAGAGATGGCTTTAGACCAGTACCTGTAAGGATGAATTCAATACACTCTTATTTTCCCAATCACACAGTTTTTCTGGCAACTTGGTATTCTGATTTGGAAAGTATTTTCAAGGTGTGTAACAGGCTTCTGTCTCTCAGTAGAGATGGAAAAGAGATGATTAATCTTTTATTTTTTCCATACAAAATACTATTCTAAAGACCAGACTAGGTAAAGTTGACCATGCTTTCTGGCTGGGAAATGCACTAGACAGATGAACATCTTGCATTCCCCTCCTGCCTGTTTCTGTTGTATGATTACACTAGGGTACAATTTCAGCCTGTCAAAATCTTATGAGAATCAAAATGATTGCATATGTGTCTGTGTATTTGCTATATTGCCAGATTTTAAGCAGAGGGTGGAAAAGGAATTGAAAATGCAATGTCAGAATCTTGATAAACAGGGCTTGTCTGCCATGAAAGCAGTTGGAAAGAACGAGTCCAAAAATCTTGGGCTTGAATTTCATCCAAGTCTCATTTGGCAGCAATCTGTGGCTTCAGCGGAGGCGCAACAGGGACTGGAATCCACCACTTGACCGGGCTGACACTTGTTTACAAGAGCAGGCTCACAACTGTTATGAGAGCTAACAGTTTCTTATGGTAATCAGAAGATTGTTTTCATTAAACGGCATTTGGGCATGCTCCCCGATGACTTGAATAGGCTTGGCTAATCAGTGGATCTGTTACCAATAGGAACATTTGGGTACTACGTCTTCTCTCGTACCCCCCACACTCACAGTTGGCAGACTGCTGCTGCAGGAGGTGTAGCTGGGGAAGATGGCTTCTTTTCAGCTCTTCTAAAGCGTTTTTTTCCCAAATGAAAATTAATTAGGAGACACTTAGTAGAAAGATGGAGAGTTCAAGATTTGTTTCTTTTTCCTTTTTTTTTTTTTTAAGCTTCAAGCTGGTAAATAATCATATGTGCAGAACAAGATATTAGAAGTTTGGCACCTCCCGTCTATCACAACATATTGATTCTTTCCACAGAAGGCACTAAATACGGGCTTAAAACAGGAAATGAACAGCAGAATGCAGAGTTTTACCATGACACACAAAAAAAACCTGCTAACTGGCACAGCTTCATAGTACAGTTTTCAGTTACCTAGAAGTGCGGTGATTATAGCAGCAATGGTTAGCATTTTTACAAGTACCACAGAAACATACAAATGCCAGAACATCTAGAAAACATGCAAAATTTCAACAGCAACATCACTGAATCACACAATGCATAGAAATATTATTATTAATTATTAATATCATTATTATTATTTGGCAAGATAGTGAATCTTTTTCTTATAAAACAAAACAAAAGAATTAACAAAATCTACTTTTTTTACAAACTGCTCTTAAAAAAGTTGAGTTGTCATTAAAGTCAGTGAGTGGAAGTTTGCCTTAGAGAGAGGTTTAACTCTGAGAATGAATCAGTCACTTAGGAGAATTCACATAGTTTGGTGGAAATTTGGTTATATTTAAGCAAAATATATTTTTCAGCTGCTGTTTTGGAAGAAACAGTGCTAATCTTGTCAACGTACAAAATGGGAGAAAATACATTCACATTAAAAGATTAGAAAGATTAAACACTGCATGCAGGGAAAGATAAAAGCCTTACTTTAGCTGTTTCTCCCAAGCACTGCTCACCATGAGACCAAGGGTTGTCATAGCAAAAGTGCTTTTCAAAGGCAGAGTTAAAGCTGTCAGATAATTAAAACAAATGCAAAAGATATTCTAATTCCAATGTAAAACAAAGTAGGATATTAAAGGATAAGGATTATGCTTGCGCTCTTTAGGAAAAAAGACAAAAACTTCTGCTGTGTTTGCCAAGCTTTCCCACTGCCTTTCCACTATCTTCATCACACTTAGATATTCTGCCACTTACTTTTCTTCCAGTCTTAAACATCTGGTCTACCCTGACAGGTCTCAAGATAATCTTGAGATAGATGGGTCACGCGGACAAAACCAAACTGGTAACACAACAGCAGCCAAGCAATGCCTTTTCCTGCATACTTCAAACCCATTTGTCCCAGGGGGACTAGCTGATGTGCTCACAGCTAAGTGCAGGTAACAGCCTGAGCTGGGTGGCAGCAGGCGGCATGGGCTCGCATTTATCACAGTGCTCTGCAAGACGGGCACCAAATCCACTCCCGCAGCAGCACCACCCGTCTTGCCCACACTGTCACAAACAGGAGCAAAATCAGGTTCTCACCATTTCTTCCCCTGGCTCTTTCAGGCTCCGTGAAGGCATTTCATGTCACGTTTCGTCTGCCCATCCCTGAATGCTCTGTGTATTTCTGCACCTGCATTTCACATCCATCCATCCAGCCTTGTACACAGGAACCATCTTGCAAGCTGCTCACAGAGATAGCTCCCACATAAGGCAAAGCTTGAGAGATCTGAACCATAAGCACCAGGCAGAAAACAAAGGCCTCCATAAAGCAATTTACACTGCAGTCATTGTTCAGTGCACCTTCAGCCTCACTAGGAGTCTCTAGGAGAAGATTTGTCTTCCTACACAAAAGTTACCAAATCAGTTTGAAGCCAATTACTATTGCCTTACCTTCTGCGCCTACACTTTGCAGCCACTGCTGAAGATACAGGGGCTGAAGCAAAGCCTTTGGCACTGGCTTGTTTTCAGGCTGGAAATCTGACTTATAGTAAGTGTATTAAATGTGTGATAGTAGAAGAGAATGAGGAATTCTGGCAGGAGCAATGTGGGGCAGACCAGGGACTACTTAAGGCTACATGTTTTAGGGCAGCTGAGAACATGCTATAATGGTAAGGAGGACAGTCTTGGCAAGATTACAGCCTTCAGAAAGCATATAAAATTCTAGGCATGAGGAATATTAGACACAGTCATCTTTCTTCACAAAAATAACAGCTGAAATGGCAAAGATAGTATCTGCAAATATTAATTTTATGAGTTTAGTTTTCTACTGTAAGAATAATACAATATTTATGTCCAAAACTTTCTGTATTTTCTAGACTCTCTTCCCCTCACTTGTCTGTTTCGTTATTTTCTTGACACTTATGACTGTATAAAACATTAGTAACCGAAAAATGCAAAGTTGGATTCCTGAAGCATTGTGAAAGCTGAACACCTCATTCCCACTGAAACTCTATCCCACTGAATTTCAATGATAGCACCTGCCTCACCTGTCTCTTAAACACTGTGAGCAAACCCTCTATGAATTATAAAATATCAAACTGAAATCTGAAAAGGTAGTGATTTTTTCAGATACTAGTGACTGCTGTGTAATGAATACTGAACAGAAGAATAAAAGATCAGGCAAAAGCATCCTAATCCCTTTGAAACAGTAAATCCATTTCCAATCCACAGACAACTAATTTAATGGTATTTGTATAATAAAACAAATAGAATTTTGTCTGCATTACCAACTAATGTTAACCAATTCAGTGAGAAAACAGGAAATAAATTTCTTGCTTGAGACTCTAGAGACTATGTTAAAGCCTAACAGTTCATGTAACAAGCAAATTTCATGCCAAACCCATTTTTTTCCCCATCAGATTAGAAATTAAAGACATCACCACAGCTTTGAACATGTTCCAGTGAATAGCTAATGTCAAACTTTCCAGTAAACTCACAGGTGTCTCTAAACTGTGGGGCTTTTTAGCTTTCCAGCATTTCACCGCTGTAAATGCCTCTCTGCTGGTTTCAGGAAGGGTCGAGGTGCTGGAGGAGAACTTCAGGAGAGTTTCACAAGGCTTCAGCCAGAGACAGCGCAGTGGGGAGGAATGGGCCGGCCCCTGGTTTGCACAGGTGGAGCTGGAAGCAGTGCAACCACACACCTAGCTGGGAGCTCAGAGAAACCCGCCTTGTCCTCAGAAGGGTCGCTCCATCGCCAGCTGAAGTTACACTGCTGTGAAAGAGGTGAAGCGGTGATGTCCCTGGTGGCTCTTAGGTTTCCAAAACCCTAAAGGAGGTAACAGCGCAGCTTCATGTGTCTGTCATATGCTGTCCATGGGGAAAGCACCATCATTTAGTTGTGCTTAGGGCCTTCCCCCTTCTTGGCTTGCTTCTCCCTTCTTGGCTGATAGGGGTGTTCTTGACAAGCTACCCCCAGGCTCTCAGTTTTCGGAGTGTTGCAATGACACCCATGCTGGCTCTGCACAGAGCCAACAGATATGCCAGGAGACACCAGCGATGCAGTACTGTCCCTGATCACCAAGGCATGGCTCAGCACAAGGGGACCATCACCAGAAAGTATAGTTCAGGTTTTTTGGCTAGTAATATAGCCATATTTTATGCTGGACTGCCTTCTCTCCACACTCCTCCTCAGCACTGAGAGTGCAGATTCAGCACACACATGAAAGCACAGAAATAAAAGAAAATACATCTTCTCTTTTAAGAACAAGGACAGCAAAGCAGTCATCTCTTCACACTGATGTTTAGCAAAGAACCCTCATTACGAAGAGCAGATCCACTTCCTGACACGTTTCATAGTGAACAGCCGAGTCCTTCTATACCCTAACCGAGAGGCATGAATTGGCTCATTTCAGGTGAATCAAATGACATTTCTGTGTCCTGTAAGCTCTCCTCCTTCCCACACATTTGCATTGCCTCCAGGACTTCAGTGAGTCAGGGGGGTCCCCATGCCCTGTTGCCTGCACCGTATGAAATGAACTGATTTCCATGACAGAGTGAGCCCAAAAGTTACGTACTGTTGAGGATCAGTCATCTCAGTCCTACTTTAAGGGTGTTAGTGGAAGGCCAAACAGTGCACACGAGTGGGCCTGATCCTCTACACAGAAGTGAATTTCATCTCATTTCATGAATTAAAAGCTCTTTCACAAAAAGCAGAAGAGAAGAGAGAGGGAGAGTGCTTCCAGCATGAGAGATGCGAGCCTCCAGAGTGCTCGCGTGCAGTATCCCACAAACCTCGTGTACCTGACGCGAGGCGGTCTGCCCTGAGCGCGTTATCCCCAAAGCACAAGGTCACTTGAAAGGCAGGAGGGAGCTCTCAGCCAAGAGCCACCCTGCACATAGCGGTCCCCTCGCCCCACGGTACAGATGCTGGGAGAGGGGAATATTAGAGGATCAGGGACGGTGAGAGGAGCAGGGATGTTGGGGATGGGGAAGACCGGTCAGTCAATCACAGTCACTTGCAGCTTATTGTCAGAAGGAATGATCAGCCCATGCACCACATGTGCTAGTCAGGTCAGTCAATGCACTTACGGGATGTACTCAGACACGGTGACAAGAAAGGGTAAATATGAGCTGGACAGGGAGGAAACCTAGTGCAACAGGAATCTCAGTTTCCTTTAAGGCTGTTTCAGTCCTTAGGGCAGCCCAGGCTCTAGAGTGACACAGCACCTGCTCCTCCTGATCCCCATCTTCCCACCCCACATCACTTGCGCAAACAGCAGAACAAGATCCGGTCACAAACATCCGAGACAAGCATGCACATCAGTACAACATGCTGCCTGCATCTCATTCCACACAGCTTTCTAAGAGGGCAGCTACGCTGTAGACTGAACACCAGTGCACAGCAGCTTCTAAACACAAAAACACAAAACAGTTCGAAAGTGTTGATATTCTTCATGAAGGAGAATGTGCAACAGGGACACTGATTCCATTTTTAGATTGTCCTGTATGTCAATAGCCTGGATGCTGCTATCACAGAATTATTGCACTATGCAGATGAACAAGGTATGTGCTGTTATTTTAGATATCCCTTGTAATTTAGTCTATAATGTAGTTCACAACAGTATTCCATTCTCCTGCACTTAAAAATACATTTTGTTGCATAAATACATATTTGAAAATTAAACAGGCAGTTCACAGCACCCAGATATCAAAGACTTTAGTTCCAACTACCTGCATGAATACATGTACATTGTGCAAACCCACAATATCATAAATATATGCATGAGTGACTAATAAAACAGAGCTTAAGCCATTCAAGTGCCTGCAGCTCTGCCCACCTAAATGTGCAATCACATGAACAGATCCAAGTGCATCTATTGTGCACAGCTGCATCCAGATCAGTCCAGTGACACCCATGTATAATCCCCATGTCTGACTCTTGGTTTGGTGTCATGAGAAGGCCACATGGGAAAGCCTGTGCTAACACTGGTACAGACTCCTTCGCACTGTGCGTAGGCCTGTGCTTTGGCACTCTGCCTCTTTCTCAGGTTCAAGACCAAACTTTACTCTTGGTAGCACTGAGCAAATCTCCCAAAAGCTGGTAGATGGTTCTGAAGGCAACCAATACATCTGAAAATGATTCAGAAGGGTCTCAATCGGCATTACACTTTTGATGGGTTTCCAAGGCTGCAGTAGCTGAGCCAGGTTAGTGACTCTCTGATACTGGCAGAGGAACACACACCTCCATCTCCCCCACTGGCTCTGCACCTTAGTTTGTGAGCAGATTCAACTCTGTAATCTGGCAGAAAATTATCTGACGTCCCCCCTTTTCCGCTGCATTTTCTGCTGGGCTAGTGAGTTGAAATGACTCACTGGAGAGGTCTAACACCAGATCAAAGAAAGGTGAGTGGCAAGAAAAAATGGGAAAAAGGAAGGAGAAAAGTGGGCCCCATTTTGGAGCCAGCTACTCCCGTTTTATGGAAATCACAGCCTCACTGTGGGGCAAAAACTCAGCTTTTACATCAGAGCACAATGTAGTCAGCAGCACAGCCAGCCACCAGCAGCTCCTCACTGCAGGCCAGCCCACCCAACCACCAGTCCACAGGCTGTGCTGGATGAGAGCATGCTGTACGGTGTTTTGCCAGCTGCTCTTCTGATCTCATGGTGAAAGGTACCCGGTATCAAGACCCACGGTAGGAGACCCCAATCCTTTGCTTAGGCAGCGAGGAAGACTTGTAAGAGTCAGCAGCACTAGCCCCTGGCCACACTGCCATGTCTTAGCACCAGGGAAGCTGCACACCACTGTGGTGAGCTTGCAACTTGCTGGTGGAGCAGGATTGACACCCTCAGAGTACTGGGAGACAGTTACAAGCAACTGAGTTGTCACCTGTCAGCTGAGCCGCAGCTACTCTCCCACCAGCATGAGGCAAAACCATGAAAGTGATTTAAATCAGAAGTCTCCCTCCCAGTGGGCTAACAAACCTCCCAGGGCCTTAATACGAATGGTAATTCATTAAGCTGTGGTCACTTGATTCCTTGCAACTGTCCACAATGGAAGACTGGCAGATATGTTGTGCTAAATGCCCTTCAAAGCTAATAAATTTATTTTTGGAGTACGATACTACTCAAGTATCACATTCTGGCCATATGTGTTTAACTATTTCAATGAGTAGCCTGTCTGGGGATGCCCCGTAAGAATTTGCCAGGCAACCTGCCATCAGCACCAGCTGGAAGCTGGAGTTATTAGAGATGTCACAAATCAGAACAAAACCACCCCGATAATATTGAGGCTTTCACAATAAGCACACGTACTCCACAGCTTATCCCCCAACCAGACAAGCAAAAGCTGCTGATGTGCCCTGCTAAGTTAAGGGTATCAGAAATGTTGCCTCACCCAGCGTAAGGCTGGACATTAGCACAAACCATCCCAATACTGTGGTAAATAGCAACTCAGACAGCATGTAGAGTCAAGAAGTCATGGGAAATGCTTTTTATGACCTCCAAGTTCAAAACCCAAGAGTGCCTGTGTTCTTTCTTCTGGGTGACTCTGAGCATTTTTGGCTCCTGTCAATGGAGCCAAGGTCTGTGCTGAGGCTGAATTACAGCACTCATGTGAAACAGCACTTCAAAGACCTGCTTGCAGCACAGCGCATCAGCAACCAGTGATCTGCCTCCTCAGAGACAAGAATAATTGTGGAATTACCACACTAAATAGCCCACACAAAATAGCCCACTCTGAAGCAATATGTCCAAGGCATACCAATAGAAGATGTGAACCATTGCCAAGTTCTGAGCCTGATAACAGTGTGAAAAGCAATTTGGTTATAAGGTCTGGTTTCTTGCCATGTGGGTCTTGAGGGAGACACAAGAAAGCCACAACTTGGGATGGCTTCTTTCCCCTACAAGCTCAGGGCAGCTCCTTCCAGCAAAGAGGGGTAGTCAGGCAGGGGAGAAGAGGTGGGAAACAGAGATCTGCCCCACAAAAGCCAGCTGACACCCAGCTTCATGTTGCAACACAGGAAAGGTAAGGTGGGGAAGTAGGTCATATCCTGCAATAGCTGCCACTGGGAAGTGCTGAGATGAGTGCCAGCAGGAGAGGAACAGAGACCAAAGACTTTTCTAGAGGTTGACTCCATGGTGGAGCTCTCACCTGGCACCCCTAGGGAGCTCCTTGGCATGGGAACCCCCTACACTCTAACACCTAGTAAGAGCATCCTCAGGGAGAAACAGCAAAGAAATCCCACAGAGAGCAGCACTGGCCTTGCAAAACTATTTTTAACTGTATCACATTAAAAGCAGTGCCATGAAAAGGCAAGGCTGTGCAAATAGCAGTCAGATGGCTGGCCTCATCTGGAAGTTGGGCAGCTGTCTTGCTGGCTGCACCCGAACAAAGTCTTTTTTGGCTTCCCTCTCCTTCACCTGTAAGTCAGATTTGCCATGGCATTGAAAATCAAGGACACAGCTTGCACTCACTTCAGTAGTGTCATGATTTGGTCTCAAGCCCCAAAACCAAGTCACAAAAGCACAGCTCTACAGTATGAATGATCACCCATGCCCACCAATCCACTGCCTACCCTACAGCCCTGAGGGACAGCAGCCAGTAACTCAGAGGCTGCAGATTTGGTGGTCACAGTGCCATGACATGCAAGACCCTGGGACAGCCAGCCCTCAGGAAACCCAGATTTTGTACCAGCCTTGATATGTGCGGAGCACAAAGAGATCAGAGCCAGGCTGTGTCATCTGCAGGAAGCTTCATGGGAGGACAGATGTTTATGATAGTGGAAATCTCTGCTCTTAGACCTTCCAATGGCTCATCTGCTACCTACCCCAGCCTCCAAACAGACCTTGAGTAAGGCTTAAGTGAGGTGCAGGCATTCTGCCACGTTCCTCGCACACAGGAACATTTCTTCCTAGCAACGCAGGAAACAATTTTTAAATGGTGCCAGGTTGGTTATTTTTATTTCTGTCTGCTACCTTTGTTTCACCCTTTCTTTGGAATTAGTGATGATTAAAGTCACTGCACAGTTGCAGATCTAAAGAATATGAAGGAAATGCAGTAACACAAAGGAATAAAGACAAACAAGCATAAAGAAAACTAACATTATAAATCCCCAAAACAAAAAAGGCCCTCAGTTACAGTTTAATCCAACACCCATGGAAAGTCAGCTGAGGTTGACTCTTTCATCAACTTCAGTGGGCATTAGATCACTCCAGCGGACTTGTCTAAAGCCTCATCACAGCCTTAGGATATCCTAGTGGAACATAAACTAAGCTGAATTACTTGAGAAGTACTGTGAATCATTTTAAAGGTCAAGAATTATAATCGTTCACTGGAATACTGAATTTGTTAGTGTTTTCCCCATACTTAGAGAAAAACAACAACTATATTGCAAAGTCAAAACAGTAGCACTCATTATTTCAAGGCTTTAAGGACCAAATTCTGTCTTCAGATTCACATGCACATTTTCCATTGTCTGCAATAGAAATAGATTATGTGTAGCTGACCTAAATTTGTTTTCCAGTACTTATAACTATCCAGCTTTTGAACCTTCTCTAGTGAGTATGAAATTATCATTATACGTTCTATGCTACTTTTTTTTTGTGGATTTCAAATGATGGCTTAAGACATACTTGATGCATTGTTTTTCTGTGCAGTTTGAGATAAGATTGTGTTTTTTCTGCACTGTTGCAATCCCCAGAATACTGAAAGAGTGGCTCTAAATCAGTAGATTTTACATTAAGTATACACAGTGACAATATACTAACAACCCGTGCTTAAACAGTTAAAATTATGTGTCTGACAGTGGTTTTGCCATTATAGTTTTGCATATTGTTGAAAACAATACTTTTTAGTCTAAAGACCAGCAACATTTTGATCACAGAAAATCATCAACGAAAACAAAAGTTAAAAATAGCCTTTAGCTGACTTCAGGATTTTTTTTTTCTCATCTAGCATAAATGAGCCTCAGGAAGCAAAATAAAAAACAGACAAAAAGTGTTGTAAATGGTTTCATGAACTTACACTGATGTACCTCTTATATCTTGGTCTTGCTGATCAAGAATAAGCCATCAGGTAAGAAGCAGCAGCCAGTGATAAGTTAGTTTCCTCCACTGTGGGAGGTCATGTTAAAATAAGCTGAAAAAATGCTTTAAACCAGAATTGCTATGCAAGCCTCCCTGGGGATTTAAACTCACTGATGTGTGCATGTTAAAAAATGGTATTTCCAGTCTATCTTGTGTTGCCTGAGAACCATTTCTGTCCTTTTAAAATCTGCATTTATATTATAACCCATAAGTACCTTTCATTTTCATATTAACACTATAAATACTATGTTAGTAATACTAAACTATTTCTATTGAGTTATTTGTAAAAAGAAAAATATATTATATATTTATATATTTTTATAAAGTGAATTAACACTGGAGAGAGGGCTATGGGGGAACAGTGTACAATCACAGTTGATGTGTACTATTGGGCACAAATTCAATGCTTGAAACAAAAAGGAAAAGAAAAAAGTGTTCAGGTGATATCCCCCTTTCAAGCTGTATCTGAGGAGGAGTCATAGGACGCTGACACTATGAAGTTGCCAGTACTGGAACGGCTTGCCATGGACTGGGCAGCCTGCTGGCTCAAGTTATTGCAGATCAGCACCAGCTGGTTGCTCTGCGCTTCTGAGAGGGTGCTACAGCTCTGGTAGACACTGAAGTTGGTCTTCCGTCCAGGGATGTTGCCTTTCTCACACATCGTCTTTACCATCTTGGCAAGCTTGTTTTTCCCCAGGGCTTGGCAATTGTACCAGTGAAGCGCGGCCAAGTTGACGACGGGTTTGATGGACAGGTAGAAAGGTGCGTCCTCATAGCGCATGGCTGGAGGCCGCCTCTGGGCGTACTCCTTGTAGTCTTGCACGGGGCAGGTCTGTGGGGAGTGCTGGGTTGCATACACCCGGGAGTCCGTCCCGCCTCTCTTGCTCTTGGCGTTGGCATCTCCGTTGTCTGGCCCCATCCACTCCAGGTACTCCAGCCCAGTCTCCGTCACTCGTAGTCTGATGTCTCCCCACTTGAGGGTGGACCCATGGAAACCCGTGCAGTGCCCAAACGCCTTTGTGTTGTTTAGCCAGACGAGATTCAGCAGCCCTTCGGGATTGTATCGGCTCAACAAGCCTCTTTTGCGCAGGATAAGCTCATCAGCAAAGGTGAGCTTCATGGATTTGTGTGGCTTGTTTCCTTTTCCTTTACACCTCAGCTCTATTTGCTTTTGCTTTAATGCTTCCTGGGACCTCTTGAACTCCTTATCCCTTGTAATACTGTATCCATACCTGTGCTCTTTGAGATATCGCTCCAGCCCACACTGATAGTTGGCCAGACTGTTTGGCTCGTATTCAGACCCATCCTTTTGTCTGGCATCCACAAAGAAGGAAGCAAGGTAGGCATCAAGCTCTTTGCAGGGTATGACATAGATCTCCCGGGTCTCAGAGGGGTACTTGGAGATGAGGAACTCTCGGAAATTGCGGAGAGCTGTCTGTGTGCTGCGAATGGTCTTCTCATTCTGCTCCCTGCTGAGCTCTGCTGTTCTCTCATCCTGGTCTGGAAGAAGCAGAAAGGGAAAGACAAAAGAAAGCAGAAGCAGTGAGTTTGTGCAATGCACTTTTCCCCAAAACAAATTTCCTTTAAAAGAAAAATAAAAAGGAAAAAAATTAAAATCAACTCCACAAAGAGCACTGGAAAATATCATTACATACCTGTTACATGACTGAAAAGCCAACTTCAGTTTCACAAATGATGTACTAGAGTATAGCACAAAACCAAAGTGCCAAACCTCATGACACTGGGGCACAGTTTTGTGCACAGAGATTTGTGGAAAACATTGGGATTAGTGCAATCTGCTTTTTAGAACAAATGTAAGGTAGAAGGTTTTTCTGTGGATCCCAATGCTGTGTGCAGGGCCCAATCCAAGTAATAAGCCCATTCTGAATTGCTTCATTTATGAAACCAGAGGTTGTACTGGTTCCAATTTTTTTCTACAAAAAATAACTAAAGCATGATATTTATGACAGTAAAAATTATCTTTAATCAAAAACATTTTTAAAAAGCTAAATAAATATAGACAGAAATTTACAGTACAAAATACTACAGAAATGTACAGGATGTGCATTAGCCACACATCCTAACAGAGGAGTTGGCAGATAAAACTACTACAGAGCAGTGTATAATTTACAAATGTACAAGAATAATAAAAAAAAAAAGTAGTTAATATGTTCACATCAACAGATAAGGAAGAAAACCATGATTATACATTCTGTCTACATCAAGCTGTACCTTGACAGTTGAAGTACAATTGCGACCATTTCTTTTCATTTTGTAGAAAAATAAATTCTGGAAACAACTTTATATTGCTCTATAAGGCTATACTCAAAGGTCCTTACAATCAGTGACATATCAAACCACAGCATTCACATTCTACCGCTATGATTGTTGTTACTGACAGATGATTTTCAGGTTGATCATAAGCATAAAAAGGAAAAGTTTTTTACATTTAAGTGATGTGTGTACTCAAGGACTGCTTTCTTGGCATATGCAAACTGCATATGCAAAAATCTGTCTGTACAAGGATGCAGCTTACAAGCACATAGGTGGAACTGTCATTATGAATGTGACGAACTTCAATGGTTTTAGAAAATGAACAGCAAATGCAAAGAAGGAAAAATTGTTATTTAACTATTCTCCGTAATTGTGAATGGAACATTCTTTTTTTCTCTGTTCCGTTTAATAAACAGAGGAGGGGGAAAGAATAAGCTCTTTTTTGTTCTATCTCATTGCAAAACCCATACATTCTGGTGTCCTTTCAGCAGTGCCATGTGTTGCCAGGTGTTTCCCACCCAACATACACACCACAAAGTGGTATGAGTCCAGGTGAAGTCCCTACTGCCTCTCCGTTGCCCAGGCCAGGCTCATGTCAGACCATGTAGCACATCCATGCTGTGCAGCAGTGCTCAGATGCTTGCTCCTCTTGCCCACTCAGCCCTGCAAGCCTGTTAACAGAGGAGGCAAGCAGGGAAAGGAAAGTGGCCTTATCTCCTCTCCTAGCCCACCTGCAATGTTTCATGAGGTGCAGAAACACTGGTGCACAGCTGGGCAGCTTCCCCTTCCACCCATCTACGGAGTGACTCTGAAGAGAGCTCATCCCATCACCTCCATACCACAGCTGCAGACCGAGGCATGGAGAGTGACTTGCTTCAGGACTTGCCAGCATCCCAAAAACAGGGCTGAGTTTATATGCCCCGGGACCAGTACCTGTGGCTTTACTGCCAGGCATCTACTTCATCCACAGGACTCGGTGAATCCTATTGAGAGGGGTCCTCAAGCCCTCTGCAGAACACAGAGAAGCAGGGGTCTGCAGCTGAGGCCTTCGGAAGCTTCTGCAGCCATGAGAAATGCTGCCAGAGAGCACTGAGGTTTGTTGGAACTGTGCTCAAGGGGAAAAAGAAAAGGTCACCAGCCAGTTTCAGAAACTGATTTTAATACTGATGTCAGTATCAAGGAGCTCCTAGAACCTGCAGTGAAGTCTCACGCTTTAGGTGATGTATAGGATAGATCCTTTTATTATGGCTAGATGCAGGCTGAAAATAAAGACACAAAGCTGTCTGAAGCTATGAAACAAACATTTATTCTGGTACCTTGTTCACTGCACCCACCACCACTTATTATAGCACTAAGTACTCAGTGCTTTGACTGACAGCCCACATTTTAAGTACTGTTTCAATATAAACAGCACATATAATGGCTCAGTTTTATACATGTCATCAATCACTACTTCTTAGAGGACAGCCTGTCACAACACAGCAGTGACACCCAGTCAGTCATTTATGTTATGGCATCTTTCCTTAATCTGCAAAGGGAATTGCATATCTGCAGCTAAGAGTTATAAAATCCATGCTGAATTAAAGATGCCCTGAAGTTGGATGAGCAAAACAGTACCCCAGAAACACTGCATTCCTGAAGTGCTGTGGTGTGTTACTCCACAAGGCAGGTGGGAAATGTTAAAGGTAAAGGGTCAACTTCTCATCCAGCCATATCAGGAGAGCTATGTCAATTTTGACTGTAAATCCAGCCTGCAGTTGTAATGGATTATTCTCTTCCTCATGAGACTGCTCAAATATCAGGGATACCTCATAGCATGGGATGACTGCAGGGAAGCGTCACAATGAATTTTTGAAAATGTATATGTTATGGTAAGGATCTGACAAGCTGGGAGAAACTGTTGACGTACAAGACGTCATCTCTGGGTCTGGATATTGAAAGTGAATGTTCTTGTCCTGAGACAGCGGCATTTCCAAAGTAACAGCTCCCAGATGTTTGCTTGGTTTCCCTTTGCTGCATCTTGCTGAGTAGAGACCAAAAGCTCTATTGGCCAGGGCTTACTTTCTTTTAAATTTATTTTCTGCGTTCCTGCTGAAAAACTCCTGAAAACACAGGTGGGGATCTACATCAGCTTCTTGACTACTGCCAACATAAACCTGTTTGCTCTTGGGCCTCCACTGCTCACAGTATCGTCAACTCTCCGGTGTGCATGGACTCCGAAACTAGGTAAAAGCATGAAAAAATAAATAAAAAATCACAAAGTGCTCCTCCACACAAGAGAATGCCTCTGTATCAGGGAGGCCCTGAGCTGCAAATTGCTGGAGGATAGGAGAGTGGTGAGGTGTCATAAATACTTGCACCTTTCTTATAGTCTCCTGCAGGTGTCTGTTGTTAGGCTCTAAGAAGACAGATACTGTCATGTTATGGTCTAATTTGTCTCAGCTAGTAAAATGCCCTGAATCAACCAACCAAAAATTATTGTCAACACTGATCTATCAATCCAAGCTATATTTAATACTTTTTCCTTGTCATAACACAACCTTTGGAGTCAGTAGTGCTATTACTCCTGTTTTACAGATTAGGAGCAGAAACATAAAAAATTGATGTGGGAGATGTATTTCCTGAGGTCCTCTCTCTTCATCTACATCACTGCACAAAGGACCTGGTTGCAGCTCTAGTGTTTCCTATCTGATCCCACATTGGAGTTTCATTTCCAAGAAAACAAAAACATAGCAGAAAAAGCCAGGAAAACCTGCTCTACTGTGGGATTTGGGGTAAACTCCCAACTAAGAGTTTGGAAATGTGCCAAGTAGTTTAGATGTCCCTATTTAAATGTAGCTGAATCGATAAAGTGATCTGGCAGAGATTAAACAGACAATGGAGTGGGAGCTGAGTGTTCCAGGCTAGCCTGCAACCATGAGATGATCCCTCCCACAGAGCAACAGCTGTCTTCTGATCTTTTCACAATCTGATCTTAACACAGCCAAGATTGAACATTATCAGCACAGTTATCAAATCCAGGGTTGTTTTTACTTCAGCTTGCACACATACACACACTCAGACTCCTTGAAAATGTCATAACCTCCATAATTATGTATGGAGAGGGGAAAGGCACTTGCGTTCACAACGGACAGATGCAGATTGTTAATGTTCAGAGAGGATTTGTAACATTAGTGGGAGTCAAGAACCTGAGCTATTTCTGCAAACAGTCTTAAAGTCCGCTTGCAGTAGGCAGTGAGATCTCAGGACAAGTATATTAAGTGAAGTGGGTTTTTTGGTAGTAATCACATCACCATCCAAAGTCTTCTATGCCCAATTTGTGTTCTGACTAGGAAAATGCTTCTGCAGCAGACCTGCTTCCACCAAAATGCTTTCATTCAGGTGAAAAAGCCTAGTTAACCACACGCAAGGCACCATGTATCCTCACGCTGGTGCTAAGTGCTCTTCTTCCATGCCCCAAAACTAATACTTTGCAGGTTGGCTCTTGCCCTTGCTCTGCAAGTACTGAAAAGTAGCAATATCCAGCCTATGGGCCACAGCCATACACAGCCCACTAAAACAGTTAATGTAAACCACAGCCTGCTCCTACCTTTCTTTCCTCTGTCCCCTTGTGATAAATAACAGAAGAATTTTGCTTTCGCTAAAAGTAATTAAACAATTACTTTTATTGAGTTAGGCTAAAGCTATTATTAGTACAACGATCCAAATTTTAAGAAAAGTAAAAGAATTTACTAGTGGGAAAAGAAAAGGGGAGAATTGATCTGAGGAAACACTAACCCGACAGCCCCCCCCCTTACTGGGATGCTCACCAAATGGTCCATATCAAAGGGTGGTAACTCCTTTGCAATGGAATGAGAAAGAACAGAATGGGCCATCTCTGGTATCTCTTGTCCTTGAGATAAGAGGGGAACTAAAACCACTGAGCCATAAAGACAAAGGTGCTGCAAATTAGCCCAGACTTGAAGGACAAGGTGTACCTGACTACAGGACTGAGTTTGCGCAGAAGTAAGGGTCAGCTAGCGAACACAGTGAAGAAGACTACGAGCCTTCATCTGCAGACCCCTGCCCACAACCACCAGGGAGCACTGCGCAAGCGTGACGGGAGGAATTGGGGGTGGGGGGATATGTTAATGATTTCTCGGAACTAATTGTAATATTCCCTCCCTATCCTTGGAGTAGTGATGCATACGTATTAGAGTAGATGAATATGTAACCATTTATACAAT